CATGATCCGTACCAATATATCTTTTAATTTCCTGTACGTGCAAAAACATAATAAATAAAACCTGAGGTCCATGGTAACACAGACTTTACTCTTGGTGCTTCAGCAAATGCAGGATCATTCCCAAATGACAGTGAGTCCCACAAGCCTGGCTTCAAAGCTTTTGAAAAAGAGTGAGGGAATTCAGAGTGAAATACAGGCTTGTTGGCTGCTCCCCACCCCTGTAACCCACAGTTTTGGGAGTATTGGCCCCTTCAGGCATATCTAAAGACAGTGGTGGTAATGAGTCAGAGTCTTCAGCACCCAGCTTCACTGAATGGTGTTTTGACCTTGACAGATCCTCTCAGTTTACATGAATACACCACGTTATGACTTGAGGTGGCCAAAGAGCAGATGTACTGCCTGTCTTCTGCGTCCGCCCCAGGGGTTATGGTCTCTGGCCTTTGAGTGGCACGGGAATCTGACTCAGCATGAAGCACTACAGTTCATCACCCAGAGCCAGAAGCCCTCAGCTGGGCTCCCCACCTCTGCCAAACCCCTATTTTGGGAAAAAAAAAAAATTAAAAATCGAGAAATTTGATTTGCATTTTGAGGCACTCTTTCCATGGGGGTTGGCTGAAAATCAGTGGGAGATTCAGAAGCATTTGGAGACAGGAGGTCTCACACACAGAGCATAGTCTAGGCATTGTTTCTATTGGAAAGCAGACAAAAAAAAAATGCTGATGGATTTGTCTTGGATTTGCAAGGTGTGAAACTGCATGAAGCTCCTGGTCCCCTCAGGAAGAGCACAGGGGGAGAGCTCTGCTCCAGGGCTGGGTCATGTGTGTCCCGGCCTTTCCAGCTTGTACACAGGCAGCTACTGTGTTTCTTAGGGAAGAATGGCTCTTGTGTAAGCCATGACAAATAAAGGGAAACCAATTAAACCGACCTTTTCTTCTGCTTTACCTCTGCAGTGTACCCAATAAACCCAGGCTCTGCACATACCCATGCAATCCATCCCTGAGTTGGGTTTTAGTTGTTGTCCACTTCATTTCTCAACTCTCTGCAACTGGGCAAAGGTTTTTTCTTCCAAGGCTGTACCTCACTGGTGAGCTAGAGCTCTGGATCTTTATTCTCACCCTCAGCCCAAGCCTGGTAGAGGCAACTATCTACACCCTTTACATACTCAGGCAGCTGCTGTGGTGCTGGTCGTACCCTGCGTGCATGCTGCATGCTCAGGCCACGGAGGGACAAGTTCTAACAAGGGTGATAACCAAGCATAGGTGTGACACCAGGTGACTTTCACAGAGGGCTGTATCCAGTGAGAAAAGTTCATTTGACTTCAGTGACAGACTTGCTCCTTTAAAGCCCTTGTGGTAAGCTCCCCTGTCTTTTCCCAGGCTGGCTTTTTGGCTTGGCTTTTTAAATGAGAATTTTTTGAGTGGTACAAGAGGTCAAGGCTACTGAAGTGTGAATGCTAAAACAGGACCTGGTGAATCGCACTCTGTAGCTCCCATCTGACCCAGAGTGGAGCAACAGCCCTTCTCCCACCCTGCTATCATCTGCCTCTCCAAAACCCCACAGCCACCCAAGCACAGCTGGGTGCTAGGTCTGACCAGGACTCAGGGTCAGAGGAATAATCTCACGGTGTGGATATGAGTGGGTAGGAGAAAGGACACTCTGATGACAAAAAAAAATGTGGCCCTCTCACTCCTGAAAAATACTAAATGAACATGCTGGTTCCTATTGAGTTTCCAGGGTCTTGGCTCAGAATAGCCAAGTCGTAACATTTTCAGGAAGATCTAAGGCATCTTCTGAGCAGTGCCGCCTTCTCAGGCTGCTGTAAATTCCAAACAAATGTTCTTGTCAGCCTGTGCTCATTTCACCAGCATCCTAGACTGACCCCTCTCTATATTTGATCCACCATTGACTCCATGGAGATCCACTGAGATATGGAGAGAGACATCTACCTTCAGAAACACTTTCACTCCTCTAGATTGTTCTCCCAGCCAGGGAAACTTGGAGAACTCTTCCATTGCTCTGTCAGTAGACATATTCATGGTGCAGTAGGAAAAAATGTGTAAAAATCATGCGGGAAATAAACGAGTAAGTATTGATAGCAGATTTTTACCTACAAGCTCACCTTCAAGTTGATGGAGAATGTTGCTCATCTTGTGTTTACCGAGCTTCCAGATCTACAGCTGGACAGCCTTGCAGAAGAGGTAGGTACAGCTGCAGTCTTACCGTATTGCTGCTCCCTATTTGTCTAGAACAAATTTACCTCTTATTTTGCAGTCATTTAACTATACGCTGAGGGTTACTACTGATGAGCACCCGCTGAACTTATATTTGCTTAGACTGTATTTTGGAGACACTTACTTAGACCTTGCTTAGCTACAGTGATTGACCTCAGCTAACTTCAGCAGGGCTCTCCTGTTGGTACCACTTGAAGAAGTCTCTCTTCAAAATGTTTTGGATCCTGTTTTGCCTTCTTCCTAAGTATGCCAGTGACAAATGTTTTCAAAGAGTCTTTATTTTTGTGTGGACATTCCATGTTCATTTATTCCAGTGAGATAAATTGGCCCTGATTGATTTACTGTCTGAACATGACTTTTCGGTAGTGCCTTCTGGTTTTCTTTGGCCATGTTATTGACACTGGGTAATATAACATAAAAGGAGTGTGGATGGGCTTTTACAAAGAAATCAGCTAAACAGCTATTAGAGGATTAAAAGCAATCCGATGGCCAGGATTACACGTCTTTAAAATGCTGATAATATCACGGAGCAAATGGGTTTGTAATTTAATGGCAGAAGAGGGAAGACTTCAGATGTGTGTTTTTTTCACATTTGATAGAAAGATTAAAGTGTCTGCATTTGGTGTGCAGGAGTTTGATGAAGCTGTAGCACAGTTGTCTATGGATATCAGTGTTCACCTTTCTTGTAAATAGTAATTGTGCCACATGGAGAGTATTCTTCTGGTCAACATTTTTATTAAAACTTTAATTCTCACGGTGACAAGTTGGATCATTGTCTGCTTTCAAAGTCTGATAATGATACACTTTAGAAGCTTTGAAGAAAACCTTTGTCTAGACAGAAACAGCTTAAGAAAGCTTTTGAAATGTAGCATTCACTTTAAACCTTTGCTGATGCCTGTAGAAAGCACTGATACATATTCGGGAAATCTTGAGCTGTTTTCTACTTCCTTGTGCTAAAAGTGTGCAAGAAGCTTGCAAGACAACAGGAACTGTGAGAAATAAATATGTACCACTTTCCTAAGGAGAGTGGTTCAACCTGTGACATTTTTTCCCACAGAAAGAATTTCATTTTCATCCAGAAATTAGCTTTCTTTTAAAACTGAATTAAACTACATGTGATATTCTGGCTTTTGCATCTTTAGTATTGAGGTTAGATGGGAGGTATTTTATCTTGTGTTTACCGAGCTTCCAGATCTACAGCTGGACAGCCTTGCAGAAGAGGTAGGTACAGCTGCAGTCTTACCATTTTTCTGCTCCCTATTTGTCTAGAACAAATTTACCTCTTATGGTAATCTCCATAAAAAATAAAATGAGGACATCTCCAGAGCTGTTAAAGATGTATAATCTAAAAAAAAAGTAGCTACCGTTTTATTGAAATGTAGACTTTTAACCAGTCCCCTCGACTTGAGGTCCAGAGGCCTTTTCCAGAATATTATTTCACAAAATCCAGGTTTGGTTCTGACTGTAGAGCGTTGAGGACACGCAACAAATAAACCAGTCCCATCTAGGTGTGCAGCAGATCAGCTCGCATCTCACAGGGGAAGAGACACCCCACGGCACCAGCGGCCCAACACAGGCCCAGGGTGATGCTTTCCACTTGGTTAGACCCCTGCTCAGCACCACCCCACGCGAGACGAAGCTGGAAGGGGCAGAGCCACGAGCTAGTCCACTTCTCCAGCCAGCCTAACGAGCAGATCATGGAGAAGGTGGCACGCTGCCTCGTATCTCTAGGATTTGGAAATCAGACGATAATGGCTCCTGGATACATCTCTGCAGAGGTCAAACCTCTGTGATAAGGATCTGACCTAAAAATTTATTTGGGGCATTATCTGATGTGTCCTGCCCAGGAAGTAACGGTTATGCTGGTAATTTTTATTTTTAGCTGTTCAATTTGATGTGGCTATTTATCGTCGTTATATGTATATTAACTGCTTTTCATCTTCAGAGTGCTTTGCAAATGACTATATGTTTCACAGAGTCTCAGGTACTCTGAGGAAATGCATGTTTGTCATAGGTAACAAAGATTTAATCTCTGCTTTGAGGGAGAAATGCAATTCAGGTTTACTGACAGAATTACCAGCAGCACTAACATATTTCCAGAAATCTCAAAACTGAGGCAGAGGGGAAGAGGTTGAATCTCTTGTCAGAGACTGCATAGGAAAGAAAAAAAGCCAAAAAATAATAAATCCCAATCAGACATTCAGACTGCTGCCTTGCCCTCCTCCTCCTTCTTGGATAACAAATACAAACACTTACGCACCCAGAAATGAGAGCTTTGACTCTGGATGTGAGCTGTCCAGGTAACTACACCTCTGCTCTTCGGGCCTGGGAAACAGACCCTGCAAATGTAACAGCCCTTAGGAAAAACAAAATAGTAATTGGAAAGGGAAACTGGCTACCACATAAAGAACAAAGCCTGTGACTGCCATGGACACAATAGCTAAAAGTGTACAAATGTTCAGAGTAGTCTGCTAGAAATCAGCAGAGTATTGTTATACCCAGTAATTTTGGTTAGATGCTCACAGCACAAACCTGCTCCTTATCTAGATTTAAAAATCTAGGTTAAAAATTTAGTCTCATAGGTATCAGTTCATATTTACTTTCTATCCATTTTCTTTAGTCTTTCCTGAAAATTCATTACTCCTGCAAACAGTGCTGTCCCTTTTGTTGTCAATTGAAAGTAAACAAACAAACAAACAAACAAAACAAAACCAAAACCACAGCCTGGATAAATTAAAAAGTTTATTTAAATGAAATTTATGGACACATTTTGAGGTATTTGATCAGTATCTGTTCTTATTTGTACACGAGTATTTTTTCAGGTGCTCAGTCAGCATGACATGAAGGAAGGACAAAAAGGTACAAAACCATTTCAGCAATATGAGGCCAAAAAAGCGAAAGTTTGAAACGTCTGTGGAGAGTGTGTGGGTAAGGAGTTTACCTCATATTCAGAATGGGATTTAAGCACACAGGTAAATTTTATTTAAATCTGGCCTTGGAGAAAGGAAGATTTAAAGCAGTTTGGAGGCAAAGTCTCATTTTAAATAGATATGGTCCAAATTAAAGGTATTCCGTGAATTTTGATATATTAATTTTAAAAGGTGCATTTTTTTTTTAAAAAAGTAATACAATATTCTAAACAAAAGGAGAAATATCTACATTTTCATGAAGATGTAAACTGATATATTCAATGTTACCCTTTTTGTACACACCAGTATCTAACCATTACAGGAACATATTTCTAAGCATGTAATCTCTGACCTGCCAAAAAGACGCAATCAAGATTATTTTGTCCACAAACTCAATTTTCAGAAAAGAAGGAAGAAGGCTGGCATTTTTTTCAGTATGACGAGTGGAGCTTTGCTTTGAAAGTGCAGTTTTACAGAACTCTCTTTCCCTCTTCCTAGCATTGATTAGAATGAAAGTTTCAGATTTTCTTTTCCTGAAAATTATCCTTTGAATAATCACCAAATAGCTAGTGTCCAATGTATCAGTTGCTGCTTTCACTTTAGAAGACGCTGTAAAGGAAATTCATTCCCAAATATAGCCTTATTTATAGTTTAAAAATTGTCTTTTCAGAAACAGAAGTATTTCTGTAAGTTTTCTAAAAATTTTAGGGAAAGACACTTTATCTAAATCTTACCTTTCCCAGTCCAAGTGTTTGCAACCCAGTGCATCTCAGGTTAGCAGTCAGGAAAAACAGACAAGAAAACTTACATGAGGAAGCAGGAGAAAGGGGAGGGGAATTTCCTGAAATGGATTTATCTGGTTTTGCCGTCTCATTGAGTGAAAGGCAAAAGAAAATAGATGAACTAAATGGAAGCTGAATGAAAAGTAGAACGCAAAGGTTGCGTCAGTTTTAACAGTCCAAAGGAAGCTTAGTAACACAGCTGAAGCAACTTGAGAGATATCTCTTTGCTTACAAATCATCTTTAGGTTTTTTACAGACAACATTTAAAGTCCTTTGACAGATTGAAAATACCTTTTTTTTTTTTTTTCCTCTAGATCTTTTCCTTTTCCTGGTATTCATTTTCACCTGTAGAAAAATCCCCAGGGTTTTTAGATTTGGTTTTCAGACCAACTTGAAGGTTTCTGTCTCCAGAGAGGCATTTACCTAGCTGCCCGTCTCCTCAAATTCACTGTAGGGGGATGAAGCTGAAGAGGTTTTAGACTCCCCATCACTGTTGCATTCCCGCGGGGGACCAGGACTGGGAGCTTCGGGGAGCTCCTTGGCAGAGAGCGTTTCCTTACTGTTAGACCCTAAGGGATGGCAGTCCAGCAAGCCCTGCAGGTGTTTGATGTAGCTTATTGCAGCTCTCAGGGTCTCCACTTTGCTGAGGCGCTTGTCAGCGAATTCCTTGGGCAGGTGCTCTCTCAGGCGTGTGTAGCCCTCGTTCACGCAGCGCACCCGCTGCCTTTCCCTCTCGTTCCTCTTCCGAATGAAGGCAGGCTCAAAGGAATAGTCATAGATGCCCACGTAGCCAGGGAACGGGATGTAGGAGAAGCGACCTGCGTGCCTGCCGTAGGCTTGCTCCCAGTAAGATGGGTCCAGATGGAAGGGAACCCCGAAGGGGTCTCTCAGGGGGACTCTGTGGGGATGCACATGGCCGTTAGCCAGGGACACAGCTCCTGGAAATGCAATCCTCTTCAAGAGTCCGTCATCATCTTTAGTGCTGTCCATGCTGCTTTCTTTTTTTTTTTTTTTTTTTCTCCTCACCAGTGGAATGCCAGTTCCTGAATTTGTCTTCTAAATCTTGTATCAGTCGAAGCAAGGGCGAAACATCTGTATAGGTACTCTGCCCCGCAGGCTGCAATTTCCTCTTGCAGTGTATGAAAACTCAGATGTCAAAGCACTGCTAACAACCCACGAGGTCCACTTGGTGCCTGGAAATCGGCTCTAAACCTTGTTGTTTTTATAGATGTAGGATGCCAGCTAATTTACAGACAGGTTTTGAGGACCATCACTCCACACTTTAAACCCTTCTTTTCCTCTGATCTTCATATTTCAAAAGGTAATAAGAGGGTTCCTGTGTATTCCTTTTCTCTCTGCTTGAAATTATGACCATAAGAGTTAATGCCAAACATAAATAATCTTCCAGGCTCTAAACACTTCTCATGTATTGTAATCCATGATATCATTTGATATAATTGTCTCCAAAATTGGGTAATTTGCAAAGTTTACAGGGATCTTCAAAGTTCTGGCAGAACTCCTCCCTTTCAGGAACCAAGGATCTTCTGTCATCTGAAAACTACCCAAAGGCTTTTCACAATGAAATCCAAAAGACAACTGCAAGCTTTGTTGTTTCGGCTGCTCTGGTCTAACTGAAACAGCTCACAAGCAGTTTGCAAAACTTATATGGCATGTCTTTAGCTTTCTGGGGAAGCTGAGAAATCTTCAAAGGAAAGAGTGCTCTCTTGTGGTTGCAAGTCATGTCAGATCAAGAATGCCTATGTGCAAGCATAAGAAGAAAACTGCTTTCTTAGCCTGAAGAGAGGCTTTTTCAAGAAGTGTGAGTTTCACAAATTGAACATGACCGTTTTCAAAAAATCTTCAACATTTCGCATGTTTCTGCTTATTGCAAGAATGTTCCGGTCATCACTATAAGAACCTGCCTCAGATAAGCAAATACAAAGTTGATGCCCTGATTGCCTGCCCCCCGTGCAGCTATTACTAGATGTTTGCATAGATATTGACTTACCTGATGGACCCTACATGCTGCTTTAATTGGGGAGCTGAAAACACCTCCTGACTGTGCCAAATCTGTGCTGCACCCTCCAGCTTGCCTCCAGCTTGCCAAGGAGAAGAGGTAGACAAAAGACAAGGACTTTTGGTGGTACGAGGGCATAATGTTCACATCCATGCCTTTCCTCTAAGATACCCTGTTGTGTTAGGATCTTCTTCTGCAGCAAGTGGAGGGTCTTTGGCTTTTCCCATGTTGTTCAAGAGCTCCATAGTTACAAATTTTTTTGACAACACATCTTCACAGTTAACTGAATTTCCCCTTTTTTGCCATCATCAGTTTGGAGAGTTGGACGTTTGGTCTGGGAGAGCTGTGGGAAGGGATGGACATGAAAAGGTACAGGCATGCAGGCTCTATTAAAACCGCTCTTTTGCTCAAAGTGAAAGTTTACGCCCTGTTCAGTCTTTCATGCCAAACCGTCTCAGAAGCATGAGTAACTGAAACAACATCCTCCACTTCAAGAAACACATCTATGTCTCTGCTGAGTCAGAAACCAGCAGCAATGATGTCAGCATGTGTTTTCAAGTCTGCCTTCGTATCTTTGCTGGCCTGTTCTGCAGCCTCAAAACCCAATGGTAGTCTTCAAAGTATGATGAATGTACAGGCAGACTGTTCCAGACAGATGTGAGTGAGAACAATCCTGCACTTTGATTCATGCCAGGGGCAGGATCAGAACCAAAATGGTTCAAAAGCCAGGGCAACTATCCATCTAGTTTTACCCCCATTACTAACACTGCCTAGCAAGTGCTGATGTTTGAAGCTGAAGGTTTTGTAGCATTACATAAGAGTTAGCTAATGCATTTCATGAGGGGTTGAGATCTTTTCCAATCACAACTAAATGCCTTTCTGAAATACGTGCCATAGCTCAGATGGAAGGTATGGGCGTGAGGCATGAATTACTGAGGAACACTGCAGGTATGCACAACTCATTTCCGATCAAACAATCAAGACAGACTTTCTGCCTTCTAAAAGATCTTTGGAAGCAGTTGAACAGTATGGGCTTTTCAATATGACTTGCACTATAAACTGTTGTCCGGTAGAAGTGTTTTCAGAAATGAATGCTTAGATGAAAATAGCTCATTCACTGTAGCATTAAGGCAGGCCAGGACTTAACATTTTCTTAAAACAAAGAGGATATTTGCCTCTAAGCAAATACCTGAAGTAGAAAAAGGACATTTGATTTGTGTCATTATTAGTTTTAAACTGCTGCTATCTGGCAGTGTTCCTGTAAGGAAATGGAAGTGTGCCTCTCAGGTGGGTGTCTCAGGTGCCAGAATGTTTCACATCTCCCCATGACCTTGTCAGAAGTCTAGTCATGTTCAAAAGGCAGGGTTACATTTCAGTTCTGTCGTGCAAATGCACTATTCCTTGCCGCCAGACCTCTTTTCTATGTTTACTGTAAATGCAGGTCACCGTCACTTCCCAGAGTGTCAGAATTGCACCTGTGCTAAACAGACATCTGCTCTTCCTACAGAAAAATCCACGTTGTTAATCCTTTAGAGAAAAAAAGGAAGAAAAACTACAGGTAAATGTTATTTATTGATCTGAATGATTGAAGCTGATCTCCTATCAAATGGACTCTGCAGCCTGATTTGGTTTGCATGCAAGAAAAATAAGAAAATACGCCACAGGCTTTCGTTGAACGTCGTATCTTGTTGACAATGTAATGTCACTTGCTGGCAGGGAGCCAGCAAAAGGCCAACGCAGATTATGTCCCATTGAAGATCCTTGTGGAGAGCACAAGGAGGATTAAAGCAATGTGTTGTTCCCATACTGACTTCTATACAAAGCAGGCCCTTCTCACCATGTCTGCACATGCAGACTCGGTGAAAGTAGCAGGACTGGCCACCAAAGGGAAAGGCTAATAAACATTCTTTTTAATTTTAAGAGTAGGTTAAGACTACATGGATAATGTTGCTCTTCTAAGACAAGCCTTTGATCTCCCTTCTTACACCGTGTCTCCAATTACCTTCTCTTCACACCTTTGCCTGGATGATGCTTTGACTCCAGAATGCAATATCCTCCATGATGATATGAAGCAGGTGGCCTGGTTTGCTCTCCAGGAGGTATAAATCAGGTATTACCTACTGCTCTACAATGGCAGAAGTTGTACTGTTTCTATTTATATTGTATGTTTTGCTTTGTTTTGTTTTGTTGTTTTGTTTTGTTGCTTTGTTTTGTTTTGTTTTGTTTTGCTTTGTTTTTAAATATGAAGTTTCAGTGGGGATGCTGGGAGATTTCTTACATACATTGACTATGGCATTCAAACAGGTTCCCTTCATAGAAGCATAGAATCACAGAATGGTTTGGGTTGGAAGGCACCTTAAAGATCATCTAGGTCCAACCCCCTTGCCATGGGCAGGGACACCTTCCACTAGTCCAGGTTGCTCAAAATCCTGTCCACCCTGGCCTTGAACACTTCCAGGGAGCAGGCAGCCACAGCCCCCTCCCTGGCAGTGCTGAAGACCAGTTTGGATGGGGTCCCTGGTCCCTTCCAACCCAACCCATTCTATTATCCTATGAAGGGAACTTGTTTGAAGGCCACAGTCAATGCCCTTCCTTCTCTCCTTCCTTTTACTTCACTATACGCACTTAATTACCCAGCCAAAATGAATAGACAGTATTTCCAACACACCTCAGAATAAAACATTGAGGCATCTTCCTTCCAGATATAACTTAGTTGTGGTTTTAATTGCATATATCCTAACACAATATCTACAAGAATGTAATCCTTGTACAAAAGAACCCTCAACTTGTTCACGCTCCCACGAGAATCATGAATAACACTACTAACACTACACAGTGGCTGCTTTGAATTACTCAGAGCAACAGATTCTCCTTGACACTGTGTCCCTCTGTGTCTGAAAAGAAAGTAATTGGTGGAAATATTGTAGTAGAAAGACAGGAGTCATCTGAACGCATGCAAGCCCACCTATTTCCCAACAGATGATGTGTCAACTATTTTATCTGTGAACACATTACAGAGAAAGAGAAAAAGGAAATACGTCAAGAGTTTAAAAAGAAACCCTCACAACATTGTGCATTTGTTATATTTTCTGTAATTATGCTAAATTCCAGTATTTTGTATACATATCACAGTTTGGGCTGCTGCAATTTACTAACAGATGTAAAATTGTGAAACTAACAGTTTCTCTTGTTAACAGCATACCACAGAATTATAGCAATAACTGCAATTTAGACTGAGATCCAGGAATGCAAGATTGTACAGTTTTGTGCCTCTCTAATCCTGTTTTGTCCTGAAGCATGGACCATCTCTTTTCAGCTCTATAACTACAAGTGAGAGCCACACCTAAATTACCCAGGTTTCATACTGTGACTATCACAAAAATACAGGCTGGCAAAGCGCTGACAAACCAATAACAGGTGGTGAGAAATTTGGAGAAAGAACCCAAGGGCAGGTTTGTAGAAGCCGAAGAGAACTGATCATATCGAGGTGTGGACATGGTCACACTACAGAGGAGGACTGAAGCCTGCTCACTGTATCTCCTTTCCTTGTGGTTTCACAAGTCTCCCTTATCTTTCAGTATGTCTCCAGGATCAGAAGACGACGTGAAAAATAGCTCTGCAATTTGTTCCTCATGCAGCAAGTACTGCTATAAATGTCAATAAACTAAGCTTTCAGGGGACACAGTGCAGTCGTCTCATCAAAATACCTCACATGTAATGACAGTGTTGGGAATATAAAAAAAAATTCTTCCCTTGAAGAAGAAACAGTTCTCAAATGGGTTTTATCACAATACTTTGGGCGTGCAGAGTACATCTCTGTAGACATAGATTAATTTCTCATTTGGTGACACTTCATATTATCACTGGCTTCCTTTGATACTTGCACTTTAAACTGGTAGTTAAGATATCACTTGTTCAAGGGAGTAAAGTGACTACAAAAAAAGCTGGAATCTCGGAGGACTCATGTTTGACAGTAGGAAAAAACACTCTTATCTGTGTATGACTACATTCAATCTGGCTCATAGGCTCAAAGTATTACTTTCAGCTCAGATAGCTGAAATAGCGCAAGGATTTGAGCACCAGGGCAGTTCTGCGGTAGAATTATACTATCATAATTGACATTAAGACAAGCCAAGGGCTTGGGATAACCTAGCATTTCAGGATAGAACTGAGATGCAATGAGTATAATTGTGAAGTTGTAAGGGTGGCAACTGAAAATGGAAGGTCCCCAGTCATCTTCTACATATTAGGGAGTGCAGTGTGAAGGGGCTTGTAATCATTTGCTGGAGTATCTAAGAAAGATGTGAAGTAATCGCACCAACCATGTGAATATGTGGTACTACACACTGTGCTGGGTTTCTGTGGCACGGTTTTTGGCAGTAGGGGTGGGGGCTACAGCGGTGGCTCCCGGTCAGAAGCTTCTCGAAGCTTCCCCGGCTCCAAGTCCAATCCGCCTCTGGCCAGGGCCGAGCCAATTAGCAATGGTGGCTGCACCTCTGAGATAACGTATTTAAGAAGGGGAACCTGGGAAGGTGTGGTGACTTGTGAGGAGGAGTTATGAAAAGGACACCGATGTGAACACCGAGGTCAGT